CACAACTTTTATTTGATCTTTCAGCTTGAAGAACAATTAAAGCCTGTAAGACAAAAAGAAGATGTGACTGCATTAAAAGAACAAATTTGTGATTTGTCAGTGGTAAGAATCACCTTTCATCTTAGGCACATTTCCTGTTAGATAACATAATCATACTCATTGCTGATAGTTTAGCATTCCAGGAATGATACTGTAGTTAGACAAAGGTATCCACGTGAGGCTTTTCCCCTCAGTGAATTACAGCCCATTGCAAGTGATTTTGTTTATTTTTTATTTAACTTTATATAAAGACATGGTGCTTAAGCTTTACCTGGCATGCTTAGCCTCCTTGTCACCTGGTGGTTGCCCATACCCTGACTGTAAGGTGAGGACGCCACTGTCCTACCTGCCCATGGACTGCCCTCTTTCTGACTCCTTTGTCTTCTGCAGACTCTGTCTTTATCTTTTCTCTTGCAGCTAATCTGATTAATGTGTTATCATTGCTAAATTTTCTTAGTTTGGTTTTAGATTAACTTCAAAACTTGAAACAGTTAAAGTACATTTTCTTTATTACAAATTTAAATATTTTCACTGAAGACCTCCAGGTCTTATCCTTACACCGTTCTGCAGACAAGGCTCCCAGCTTCATGATCAAATGAGTTCTCTTTATGCACTACCAGTTCCAAGTTGTGCCATGTCTTAGTTGCCCTCACATTTGGTAATGACTTTTTTGCCTTTTTTGATTGTTTTTAAATCTCCTGATTGATTTTTTGATGACTTCTTGTTAAAAAAAAAAAAAAAAGAAAAAAAAGTCTGCTAATGCTTTTGATGTCTTTGATACCTTCAGTCTTCTTTACAGAGATGGGGATTGAACTCACAGCCTTTCCTCTACACTACAACCCACCTTACTTGCTTTGATTTTTGAGACAGCATCTCCCTAAATCACTAAATTGCCTAGGCTAAGCTTGAACTTGTAGCCTCCTTTCCCCACCTCCAGAATGCTGAGACTCCCTTTTCTAGGTTTCCCAAGACCTGCCATTTATTTTTCCCCTTAGCAGCAGTGACTTTGGAGTTCATGAAATCTCATTTTTTATCAAACAGATTGTTTATTAATCTTGTTCCCGCCCTTTGCTGTACTGGGGTTTATTTTCATTGGATCCTTCACTGGATTG